TGTGTTCACAGCCAGGCAAGTCCAAAAAGTCCATTTTGTCAGTGTTTAACGATTCATTAAATGATAGTTTTCTTTTGGCTGTATTTGAATGGATTTTTAAGAGTATGTATAACAGCTCTAGATATGATTGGTACACATTAAATAATTATTAAACACCTAAATTAATATGGGAAACTTGGTAACCTCTGATAGAAACACATTGATTTATCATTGAGACCAGTGTGGAAGAAGCTTTTTTTTCCCAGTGTGCCTACTTTGAATTTCCAGTAGAGTTTGGGCCTTTTTGTTTTGTTTTGTTTTGTTTTTATTTGAAATACTTTCTCAGCCTTGTTTTCTAGAAGCTCTAGGCATATTCTCATTTCGTTTGCCAGAAGGAAATCCATGTTTTCAGACCAGATGGTTTATGTGTCAGGTTTTCAAGTCTGAGAAAATCATTGTACTTCCCATTGATGGAGTATTCTCTAAAAGCAGGATTACAGAGCTCACTTCTTGAAAATCATTATCCAACTTTAAAATTTCCTCTAAACAATAGTACATTTTGCCAGCTTGTTGCTTTGGACAGAATTATGTTCACCTTAAGTATGTAGTTGTCTAAATCCTTAGTTATTACTTTATATTTGCACTTCTCTAAAATCAAAGATGACCATTTGGCTGCTGCTTTGTTCTTTTGGAAAATAATGCATTTTCTTATTTCAACATGTTAATTAAACAATGGAATTGGTCTGCGGTTTTTAATGAGCTCAGTAGTCTTCAAGGGATTGTTCTAAATTCATTTGGAGTTATAAATAAGATCACTTGTTTCCAAGAACATGCAGAGTTCAGCCAGCCCTTAAAATGTCTCTCATTTCTTCTGTCTTCTCAGAAGTCATTATATGACCAAGTTGGGTGCAAGGTGGTGAATGAGGTCCTTTATAATTACCATACTGCCCGTTAGAGGGCAGCAGTGTACAGATACGGCAGCCAGAAGACCAAATAGTGTTCAATACTAGATCTTGGGGCATGAGCCTTTCTTGAATTTTCTAAATACAGTTAAATATATTATTATTCAGTAAGTTTAACCCATAATTTGAATTTTATGAAGACTATCTGTACAATTGAAGAATATGAACTTTGTTTTATTTTTTTTTTATTTTTTTGCAGAATAAATGGTTTTTAATAAAGGATATACTTATCACTATCCAACTCTTACAAATCAAAAAGGCCAGTAAACATTAAAATGCTAAAATTAGACCAAGAACTGCAAATTAAAATAATAGTAAGAAAATTTTGGTAATTCAGTTGGCAAATATTGAAAGAAAGGTAACACCAGTGTTTTCTGTGGTGATAATTTTTGTTTTAGGTGCTTATTGTTCTAAACTGTATATGGATTTGGTTATAAGAAGAAAAACACTATTAGTGACGAATAGCTATATCTTTTCTCTAATAAGTGATTTTTTATTTAAACACTTATTGAATACTATTGTTAAAAATATAAGTAGCTGGTAATATGATGGAAATACATGGGAATAGATGGATGATATGATGGAAAAAGAAGTGGGGTTTTAGTTTTAGAAGCTTGGTGTCATGCCATAGAATATGCAATGACTGAACGTTTTTCAGATGAATATACTCTCGACTTTTGGGAAAGAGCTTTAGATTTATCCAGGGGAAATATGTGTGTGTGTTGTGAAGTTTTCCTATAATAACTTGTTCTACTCTCACAAGAAACTTATAAAATAGGTATTGTATTATTATCTTCCTTACAGATGAGGAAACTAAAACACAAGTAGTAAGAGAATTGATACTACACTAAGTCACACTACTAGTGAGTGGCTAAGCTAGGATTCAATCCAGGCAGTCTGACATCAGAGACCATGAGCTAAAAATATTTTGTTGTATTACCCTCTTTCATTGAACCGTTTTAACTTTTCCTTCTGAATTATAGTGCCTCCCATCTCTTTCACATTTTCACTCATAGTCCTGTTTCTGGGCTTCTTGATTTCATTAGCCCTTTAACCCTCAGTGATACTAGTTACCATACTGTATTAAATATTAAAGGTTTATGTAAGTTTTATAATCTGGAGAGTTTGACTTCTCCATTTACTCTTCAGAATTCCCTTGACTATTTTTAGATCTTCAGTCTTCCTTATGCAGTTTAAAATGAACCTGTAACATTACTGAATTTTTTACTAGGAGCAATCAATATGTGTATCTTTATTTTTCTAAACGACCTTAAGTTATTTTTGGAATAAGATAGAAGAATATGTAGTAAGAGAGAGATAAAATATGCTAGAAAAGATATTATCATCACTAAGAAGGTTTCTTTTCTATTTTTATTTTTCCATGTTTTAAAATTCATTTTAATAAATATTATTTACATCATAGGAAATATATTTAGCTTTAATTTTATTATAAAGAAAATAAGTATATATAGAAACAGAAGTAGTGAAGAATATACTTTAAATGACTCAGAACTCAAAATTCACATGAATTACCTCCCCAGCCTGAAAGAATTATCTGTCTAATGAGTTTTAGAAAATTTATATTTATCATTTTTGAGACGATAAAGTATCTTAGATATTGTGTTTAAAGAACAGAGAACATACTGCTTTTAGAAAAGGGTAAAATTTCAGAAACTCCAGACCAGTGATATTGGTGTTAATCCTGGTGTAAATTTAGAACAGTTTTTTCAGCATATAGTTTAGATAGTGGTGATTGTGAAGACTTGGCTTAGGAATTTACTTATTTTTTTCTGTCTTTGCTAATATAGCTTTATATATTAGGGGGAATACAAAGTGTATATGAGAGCTACTTTGGCAAGAACAAGTTTTTGACCTGATTTCACCCTCTCAGGAATCATTTAAGAGAGTGTAAGTAGAGGCATAACTTGGAAATATTGTGAGTTACAGAAAAGTATCACAATAAAGTGAGTCATGTGAATTTTTTGGCTTCCCAGTGTGTGTAAAAGTTGTGTTTACACTATACTGTAGTCTGTTGTGTGCAATAGTATTTGTGTCTAAAGAAACAATGTACATGCCTTAATTTAAAAATATTATTTTTGTTAAAAAAATAAATGCTAACCATCATGTGAGCCTTCAGTAAGTCATAATCTTTTTGCAATAATAACATCAAAGATCCCTGACCACAGATCACCTTAACACATATAATAATGAAAAGTTTGAAATACTATGTGAATTACCAAAACATGACACAGAAACACAAAGTGAACGAATACTGTTGGAAAAAAATGGTGCTAATAGACTTGTTTGACATAGGGTTGTCACAAACCTTCAATCTGTCAAAAAGATAGTAACTATGAAGCTCAGATGCTGAAGCTGAAACTCCAACATTTTGGCCACCTGATGCACAGAACTGACTCACTGGAAAAGACCCTGATGCTGGGAAAGATTGAAGGCAGGAGAGAAGGGGATGACAGAGGGTGAGATGGTTGGATGGCCTCACCTACTCAATGGACATGAGTTTGAGTAAGCTCTGAGAGTTGGTGATGGGCAGGGAGGCCTGGTGTGCTGCAGTCCATGGGGTCGCAAAGAGTCGGACACGAGTGAGTGACTGAACTGAGCTGATGAAGATCAGTAAAGTGAAGTGCAAGAAGAAAAGGCGCACCTTTATGGACTTAGGGTGAGCTCTTCATCCAGTATCACATAATGAGCAGAGCAGAAACCAGAACCCAGGCTTTCTGACACTTAAAGGAGTATATTTTCCATTCTGTTACTCACATATGCTCCCTTTAACCTCTTCTATGATCCTGCCTTTCCTTTATCTGTGTCTGGGCCAAATAATCAGAAAAAATTGTGGGGAGCAGCTCTGGTAGATGATGCTGGTTGGCCATTTTAACTGTCCAGAGAATATGTAGGGCAGTATAGAGTTTAATGTACAACATAAATAATGCAGGTTCCGAAGGAAAAAGAAATTTTCTGGTTTCACCGAATGGTAAATGTAAGAGTTGGCCTAAGAATGATTGTACAGCAGCCTTTCATATGGAACTATGTAAAAAGTATGAATTCCACTCTGCCTGTAGTATTTGAAATATAATTCTGCGTAAGTAGTGGCTGGATAAAACTCCATGCCAACTCAGAGGGTCTATGAAAATATCAGCTGACACAATTAATTTAACTAATCTGGTCCTGATATGTGTTCAACATCGTGTCCCACTCATTATGAATAAGTAGATAATAATTTGATATGCTTTAGCTAGATCACTCTGTCTGCAGTGTTAAAAATAGAGTGAGAGTGGGAGCAAGCGTGGAGCAGGGAGACAGGTTAGGAGACTGTTCTGTAACAATATGAAAGAGATGCTGACTTAAACCAAGGTGTGTTGAAAAGTAGTCAGGTTATAGACATATTTTATTTTTTAAAAATTTTTTAGACATATTTTAAAGACACAATTTAAAGGTTTGCACAGGAATGGATAATGGGGTATTAGAGAAAGGCGTTAATGATTACTGAAGTGAGGGAGACTGTAGATAGCAGTTTTGGAGGAGATGAATACTAAGTGTTCGTTTTGAACATATATTCAAGATGTTGTTTTAAATCCAAATGGAAACAGTATTTGCAGATTATTGGATATGTGGATATGGAGTTCAGGAGGACACTTATTTGGAGACCAAAATTTGTGAATCATTGGTGTTCTTGTAGTTAAAAATACGAGACTGTAAGTTTTCACCAAGGAAGTAAATGTAAATAAAAAAGAGGCCTGTGGTCTGAGCCCTGGGGTATTCACATAGTTATGAGATTAGGGAGATAAAAAATAGACAAAGATGTAGCAAGAAATCTACAAACCAAGTGAAGAAAGTGTGTGTTGAAGAGCAAAAAGAATGATCGATCAGCTGTATCAGATGCTGCTGGTAGCTTATGTATTCCAGGACTCTCTATTTTATGGCATATATCTGAATGTATGTACAGTCTCTCACCTGTCTGATTTCAGTTTCTGTCCCTCTGGCCAACAATCTGCCATTGTTATTTTAACTTTTAAATAATCTTACCTATGTTTAATATTGCAGGAGAATCCAAACCCTCATATGGCATTTCAGAAAGTTCCACGCCCAACAGAAGGATCCCACTTGCGAGTTCATATTCTTCCTTTCCCTAAAATTAATGAAACTCGGGTACAGGAATTAATACAGGAAAATCTTGCTAAGAATCAAAATGCACCTCCTGCTTCAAGAGTGGAAAAGAAATGTGTTGTGCCTGCAGGTCCACCTGTTGGTATGTATTTATCCATTTGTTTGTTTTAAAGGTAAACTTTTAATCAAGATATAAGAAACAGGTACTTCCTGGTGATCCAGTGTCTAAGACTCCATGCTCCCAATGCAGGGGGCCCAGCTTTGATCCCTGGTCAGGGATATTATATAATAATGTGAATATTACTTATTATTTACTTACTAATACTAATTTGCTATAATTTCCCTAGATATTACCAGCTTATACTTAAGTGTTGATTATACTTTCACATGGAGAAGAAAATGGAGAAGCCAATGTGTTAGGGTAGTTACTTTTTGAAGGGTTTCATCTTATAAGTTTAATATTCATAACTTAGTTGAATGCTTTCCTTAAAAACACATGAAGTTGGTTTAAATTTTTATCTGCTTGTTTATTTTTGTGTAATCTCTTTAGTTTCTTCATTTTCAGTCAACATCAAATTTTTTATATGCATATGGAATCTCTCATTGTAGTCAGTGAGAGAAATACATATGACTCAGTATTTGTCCCTGCATGGACTGCATTCATTTTGAATGAATGAACAAATAAATGAAAGAATGATGAATGAATGAGTGAAAAATGAATGCAGGGACCTCTGTCCAACTTTCTGATTCATTTAAGTTGATCAGAATCAGGATTTTCCTTGTATTAAAATTTTTAAAATATGAATGTTTCATATTACATGATACCCATTTAATATGAATGTAGAATTGCTATGTCACTTTAAGAACCATTCACATTTTGAGAAGTTAATTACTTTCCAGCTATTCCTCAGAGGTGCCAGAGTGATGATGAATAGCTAAAAATAGCATTTGAAAGCCAGAACCTTAAGAAGGAAGACCTGAAAAGTTGAATACCCATAAACCAGAGTTGTTAGAAAGCTAGTATTAGAATGCCATAGCTGAGGATTTGGCCAATCCCTGATATATCAAACTCTGTGAAGAACTTTCTCCTGGGAATGAACTAAGTCATAGTCTCCAAAGGAAAGTAATAATTTCCAGATGGTAAACAGATTCATTATTTTAAAAGGTAGGATTTTTAATGGTTCATCCTAAAGAAAATTTAAAATGCTGTGAAAGAGATTTTAGAATTAAAAATTTATAAAAATAGGTTAAAGATGTTGCTCTCTAAAATATGTGGTCTTACTTGGAGACTGAGACATTTTCTACTCTAAATATAGATCAATTTCAGTTTCTGTCTATGCCACAGACCTCCACATGTGGGAAACTCAGGAGTACAAAATAAAGAATGCACATTTCAGACAGAGAAAGTCATATGAACTAATCTATTTTACCATCATGGTCATTAATGTTACATAATTTTAAATGATTTCAAGAGAACTAGTAAAAACCAAGATTGATTTCCTGATTCTGATAAAGCACTATAGTTAGGTGCTTAGTTGGGTGATGAGTGCATGGATCTTCTCTGTACTAATTTGTAACTTTGTGTAAGCTCATAGTTATTTCAGATTTTTTAAGTTTAAAAAATTGTTTGAAGAATGTAAAATTTCATATTGATGAAATGAAAGGAAGGCCAAGAATATGGTATTATGGTTTTTCTTGTTAGGTAAGAGCAATCATAAAATATAAGGCTTAAGAATTATAGCTACTACCTGATTTGTTTTTTGTTTTTTTTTTTACCTGATTTGTACAAATGGGATTGTGTAGTTCTTTGTGAAATTATACTTTTTATCTAATGAATACTGATTTAATTTATATCTTCTAGTATTCTTTTAATAAGTTACATTTGTTTTAAGTAATTTTAGCTTATGTAGTACACTAGAATTATCCAATCTTGTAAAGTTGACAGGTACTAAGTTCACAGAACCGACAAGTGACTCTCCCAAGTTTGTAAAGCAGTTCTTTGGCCATGATCACTTTTGTTTGTGTGCAGCGCTTCTTCAGGTCACCGATACTCAGATTTTTAGAACCTAATTTTTTGTGGTATGTGGTTTTTCTTTGGTAATATGTTAGAAATATCAGCTTCTTTTCCTATTAGTAGTCAGTCCTCTTAAATATGAGCGTTAGCTGTGTTTGTCATGATCTTGTACCTGATACATTTCTTAGCTATTTGTTTACAACTAAAGGTTAAAAAAAGAGATGTTTATCTTTGCTTAATAAAATTTTACTGTGCAACGTGAATTAATTTGTGTAAGAGATAAGTACAGTATTAGCATCTATCCTGTGAAATTATCCTCAATAAGCTATTGATTAGCCTGTCACTTCACAACATAGAAATGTAATCAAAGTGATGAAGTACCTTCAGTGTCATGTAACAAGGGGGAAAAAAGGCTTACCTGTTTGTCATGTAAACAAAGTCATATAAACTGTAAACAGTAATATTCCCCTTGCTTTTATTATTGCCAAAGAAATTTAATTTGTATTTTTCTTATATCCCTTTAATAGTTTCAATAATGGATAAAGTGACAACAGTTTTCAACAGTGCACAGAGATTGGAAGTTGTTAGAAACTGCATTTCATTCATATTTGAAAATAAAACATTGGAGACTGAAAAGGTAATAAAATGCCATCATTCCAAAGTAAACATTCATCATGTCCCTTTCAGATTTCTGTGTTTAGCTTGCCAACTGACCTCTCCTCTATTTCCGTACCTTTTCCTTATAAAGTATTCTTTCATTGTTTTTATCATTTTAAATGAACAGTGTCTAATATTTAAACTCTTAGCCAAGCCTGAAATATTGATAGTCATTTCCCCCCCTGAAACTTTTAAACATTGTTCATTTAATTCTATTTCGGCATATTATTTAGAAACTTCAGTCAGTTCAGTTCAGTCCCCCAGCCATGTCCGACTCTTCACGACCCCATGAACCACAGCAAGCCAGGCCTCCCTGTCCATCACCAGCTCCTGGAGTTTACTCAGACTCATCTCCATTGAGTCGGTGATGCCATTCAACCATCTCATCCTCTGTCGTCCCCTTCTCCTCCTGCCTTCAGTCCTTCCCAGCATCAGGGTCTTTTCCAGTGAGTCAGTTCTTCACATCAGGTGGCCAAAGTATTGGAGTTTCAGCTTCAGCATCAGTCCTTCCAGTGAACACCCAGGACTGATCTCCTTTAGGATGGACTCCTTGCAGTCCAAGTGACTCTCAAGAGTCTTCTCCAACACCACAGTTCAAAAGCATAATTCTTCGGTGCTCAGCTTTCTTTATAGTCCAACTCTCACATCCATACATGACCACTGGAAAAACCATAGCCTTGACGAGATGAACCTTTGTTGACAAAGTAATGTCTCTGCTTTTTAATATGCTCTCTAACTTGGTCATAACTTTGCTTCCAAGGAGCAAGTGTCTTTTAATTTCATGGCTGTAGTCACCATCTGCAGTGCTTTTGGAGCCCCCAAAAATAAAGTCAGCCACTGTTTCCACTGTTTCCCCATCTGTTTGCCATGAAGTGATGGGACCGGATGCCATGATCTTAGTTTTCTGATTGTTGAGCTTTAAGCCAACTTTTCCACCCTCCTCTTTCACTTTCATCAAGAGACTTAAAAACATTTAAAATATAATTTTATTATTAAAAATCTAGTTAAAGCAAGTAATGAATTATAAAAATTGTGGTCTTCATTTAAATATGCCTTTAATGTGTGCTTTAATAGCACATTTTCTTGCCTTCTTTAATAAAACATATTAAACATTAATGTCACCTTTTCTTAGTGACTTGTCATAGTTCTGAGCGTTTGTTACATGGGGCTAGTAAAACTTGTGAAACAAAGTTTTTGTCCAGTTCAGTTCAGTTCAGTTTAGTCACTCAGTCGTGTCCAACTCTTTGCGACCCCATGAATTGCAGCATACCAGGCCTCCCTGTCGATCACCAACTCCCAGAGTCTACCCAAACCCATGCCCATCGAGTCGGTTTATCCACTTAATGACCCTCAAGTCTGTGTTTTGAGTTTTTTGGAATCCATTTTTTCTTATGATTGAGTATTAAACAGACTTTCTTTTGCTTCTCTTACTTTCAATTTTCACACTGTTTCTTGTGCCCCTTGTAACAATAGTAGGACTTCCTATTCTCAGTCTTTTCCTTCCTTCTTATTTGCTCCTTTGTTCTCGTTTTATGTTTGCAAAGTTAAATAAGCCTATTATTAATACTACTTTATGTACAGTAAATCAGGCTCTAAAGATGAACTGGAAGAGGCATTCTTGTGGGTGAGGAAGTGGAAGAGTTTTAGTATGTAAAATGTGTCACATAAACTAGTCCTGTTTATTTTCATGCTGCCTTACAAATTTAAAAAATCACTATAAATCCATGTTGTCCTTAACAGCAAATCAACTCTTTTCTAATTCTAATAGCTCTGTTAAGTGGTTTACAGGATATGTATGAGTTAGCGTGATTTAAAGTTATTTTTTTCCAGTTAAACCTCCTGTTCATGTCTGCCTCTTATGTCCTCAGACCCTTCCTGCTGCACTGAGAGCCCTTAAAGGAAAGGCAGCAAGACAGTGTCTCACTGATGAGCTGGGTTTACATGTTCAGCAGAACCGGGCAATACTAGATCATCAGCAGTTTGACTACATAATAAGGATGATGAACTGTACTCTACAGGTAACCTTTAGTTCTTTCAAATTTCTCTTCTCATTTGAGAATAATACTTTTTTCCCCAGGCAGTTCAATAATTACTAGTATATCAGGTTCTTAAACCTTCCACATCTGATAATATGAAGAGCTGATATTCGTAGCATTTCTGTTACAAACACTTATGTATTGCTTAGCATAAATATTAGGAGTCTTTTTATTCTTCCTTTTTTTTTCTTGAAAAATACTAGGTTATTTTACTAGTTCTATAAGTGTTTGAAACATTCAGTTCTATATTACTTAATGTCTATATTTTTGTTTTCGCTTTTCAGTCAGTTTTCAGTTGTACTGTTAAAATAGAGGGCAATGAATGGTGGGTAATCCAAATGATAAATGAATTATTCAGTTCATAATCTATTTCTTAACCTATGTATATGGGTATTAATTGTATCATTTTTTTTCTTGGGTTATAGTTGCTTTACAGTGTTGTACAACAAAGTGAATCATCTATCTGTTTACATATATATATATATCTCCTCCCTCTTGACCCTCCTTCCCACCTCCTCCATCCCACCCCTCTAAATCATCCCAGCACATGAAGCTCAGCTCCCAGCATTATACAACAGGAACAACAGGTTCCCACTAGCTATCTGTTTTACACATGGAAGTGCACATACATCAGTCCCCATTTCCCAATTCATCCCTCCCCCAACACCCCGCTCCATGCCCACTCTTCCATTCTCCATGTCTTTGTCTCTGTAGACAGGTTCATCTGTACCATTTTTCTAGATTCCACATATATGCGTTAATATACATTATTTGTTTCTCATTCTGACTTAACTTCACTCTGACTCTGGGTCCATCCTGTCTGTACAAATGACCCAATTTTGTTCCTTTTATAGCTGAGTGATATCCCATTGTGTATATGTTCAGTTCAGTTCAGTTGCTCAGTCTTGTCCGATTCTTTGCAACCCCATGAACTGCAGCACACCAGGCCTCCCTGTCCATCACCAACTGCTGGAGTCCACCCAAACCCATTTCCATTGAGTCAGTGATGCCATCCAACCATCTCATCCTCTGTTGTCCCCTTCTCTTCCTGCCCTCAATCTTTCCCAGCATCAGGGTCCTTTCAAATGAGTCAGCTCTTCGCATCAGGTAACCAAAGTATTGGAGCTTCAGCTTCAGCATCAGTCCTTCCAATGAACACCCAGGACTGATCTCCTTTAGGATGGACTGGTTGGATCTCCTTGCAGTCCAAGGGACTCTCAAGAGTCTTCTCCAACACCACAGTTCAAAAGCATCAATTCTTAGGCTCTCAGCTTTCTTTATAGTCCAACTTTCACATCCATACATGACCAGTGGAAAAACCATAACCTTGACTAGAGGGACCTTTGTTGACAAAGTAATGTCTCTGCTTTTTAACATGCTGTCTAGGTTGGTCATAACTTTGCTTCCAAGGGGTAAGCGTCGTTTAATTTCATGGCTGCAATCACCATCTGCAGTTATTTTAGAGCCCCGAAAAATAAAGTCAGCCACTGTTTCCACTGTTTTCCCGTCTATTTGCCATGAAGTGATGGGTCCAGATGCCATGATCTTATTTTTCTGAATGTTGAGCTTTAAGCCAGCTTTTTCACTCTCCTTTTTCACTTTCACAAGAGGCTCTTCAGTTCCTCTTCACTTTTTGCCATAAGGGTGGTGTGTCATCTACACATCTGAGGTTATTGATATTTCTCCTGGCAATCTTGATTCCAGCTTGTGCTTCATCCAACCCAGTGTTTCTCATGATATACTCTGCTTATAAGTTAAATAAGCAGGGTGACAATATACAGCCTTGACATACTCCTTTTCCTGTTTGGAACCAGTCTGTTGTTCCATGTCCAGTTCTAACTGTTGCTTCCTGACTGACATACAGGTTTCTCAAGAGGCAGGTCAGGTGGTCTGGTATGCCCATCTCTTTCAGTTTTCCAGTTTATGGTGATCCACACAAACGCTTTGGCATAGTCAATAAAGCAGAAATAGATGTTTTTCTGGAACTCTCTTGGTTTTTCAAGGATCCAACAGATGTTGGCAATTTGATCTCTGGTTCCTCTGCCTTTTCTAAAACCAGCTTGAACATCTGGAAGTTCATGGTTCATGTATTGTTGAAGCCTGGCTTGGAGAATTTTGAGCATTACTTTACTAGCGTGTGAGAGGAGTGCAATTGTGCAGTAGTTTGAGCATTCTTTGGCATTGCCTTTCTTTGGGATTAGAATGAAAACTGACATTTTCTAGTCCTGTGGCCACTGCTGAGTTTTCCAAATTTTCTGGCATATTGAGCATAACACTTTCACAGCATCATCTTTCAGGATTTGTTTATATGTACCACATCTTATTTATCTACATCTGTTGATGGATATTTAGGTTGCTTCCATATCCTCCGTATTGCAAATAGTGCTGCAGCAAATGTTGGGATTGCTGGCTTCTATGGTGCTGTGTGCTGTGCTTAGTCATTCAGTTGTGTCTGACTCTTTGTGACCCCATGGACTGTAGCCCGCCTGACTCCTCTGTCCATAGGGATTCTCCAGGCAAGAGTGTGTTGCCGTGCCCTCCTCTAGAGGGTCTTCAACCCAGGGATTGAACCCAGGTCTCCTGCCCTGTAGGCAGATTCTTTACCGTGTGAGCCACCAGGGAAGCCCAGGAATACCAGAGTGGGTAGCCTGTCCCTTCTCCAGGGTAACTTCCTGACCCGGGACTTGAACTGGGGTCTCCTGCATTGCAGGCAGATTATATGGTAGTTCTATTTTTAGTTTTTTAAGGAACCCCCATACTGTTCTCTATAGTGGCTGTATCAATTTACATTCCTACCAACAGCACATGAGGGTTCTCTTTTCTCTGTATTCTCTCCAGCATTTATTATTTGTGGATTTTTTTGATGATGGCCATTCTGTGAGGTAGTAGTTTTGATCTACATTTTCCTAATAATTAGTGATGTTGAGTATCTTTTCATGTACCTCTTGGCCATCTGTATGTCTTCTTTGGAGAAATGTCTACTAAGGTCTTCCTTATAATATACATTCATGTCTTAGGGTACTACTGTTATATTTTTTTGCAGGGTGTATTTATCTTTTCAAATGCATTTCAGATAATATCTTTCTCAGAAATTCTAACTTAAAAGCTAGAATGAAAAATGTAATCTTGTAACAAGCACTTTGTGGTTTGTTAAAGCAAATTAACAAGATAAGAGATAATTCACCTCTACTGGAAATAAATTCTTATTTTAGAGTGTAAGAGACTAGCTATAATAGTTTATCATATCAAACATTAAATGCATCCTAAATGTTTACCATTTGGATATAAATTAATGTAAGTATGGTAGAATACTTCTTTGGAATACTGTTAGGCTATTAAAATAAAAGAGTTAGCTCTGTAATATGTACCTATAGGAAAAAACTTCTGTTACATGTTGTGAGGTGGGCACACAGGAAGATACATAAGGTAGTGCTTAGTCACTCAGTCGTGTCTGATTATTTCTTTGCGACTCCATGGACTGTAGCCCACCCGGCTCCTCTGTCCATGGGGATTCCTTCGGCAGGAATACTAGAGTGGGTTGCCATGCCCTCCTCCAGGAAATCTTCCCAACCCAGAGATTGAACCCAGATCTCTTGCAGTGCAGGCAGATTCTTTACCATCTGAGCCACCAGGGGTACATAAGGTAGATATAATTCTATTTTGACCTAAAATTATATGTATGTATGTATATTATAATGAAAATCTAGAAGGATATTTACACTAAATCCTTAGTAATGATTATCTCTGACATATACAGTTTGGAAGAGTTTTGACTTCCATTTAAACTTTTCTCTGCTTGAAACACACACATACACATAAGCATAATTAAATTATCTAAAACATATAACAAGGATTTTTTATAACAGAAATGGATTCTCATTTTTGTAGGAAGGAAATTATTGAAACTTTATGAGAAGAATAAGACATAATTTGTTTGCTGTAAAAATCACAAGTCTTCTGCTACTTCTGTTCCTTTGTTTCAGTTACTTTGATGCTGTCATTACAGAGAACAAAAGAATTTGATTAAGAGATCTAGGTTACCAGAAGTGCTAAAGTTAGATAATATCCTGGCTCCCTCTACCTGGTGATAAAACTGAAAAAACTATTTTAGGAGGCTTTTTTCCATTTGTATTATATGCACTGTAATTAACTGAAGAACTACATTAGAAGGCTTTCTCTAAACTTAATTTTAGTATAAACTAATTAGTAATTGATTACAGAATAACCAGGTACCCTTGGGCTAGAAAAATACTCCTTTTCATTTGAATAATCATATTTTGTTGGGGGAAGCTTGGGTTTGTTGTTGTTGCTGCTTCCAATTGCACCTGCACTAATGAGCTCTTAATGTTTTGTAATTCAGTATTTCATAAAATTAGATCTTGTCTTTGTTCCATTATAGAGAGGCTCTTTTCAGTAATAAATGGGTTCATATGTGACTTTTATTTTAATGAATCACTTATTTACCAACTTGGGATTTATTAATATTTATATTCTTGTTACAATACTTGTGGGGATTTAGTATAACATTCTGAACATTTTTTTACAAAAGCATAGAGTTTCAAGGCTGAGAGGCCAAACATCTGTGTTGGTGTTTTAAAATAGAAACATTAAATGAACTAAGTTTTAGGTAGTGATTCAAAAACTTTAGTAATTTTTGCTTGTCATGAAGTTATCCTGTAGTTTCTGTCCTCAGGGGAAAATTAAATGGAACATGAGTACTGCCAAGGGGTTATTTTGTTTATCATGTTCTTTCAGTGCCAAGATAATTTTTTAAAGGACTGGTTTATGGAGATTATAGGTTATTCCTATATTTTCTCATATCAAATAACTGATCTTATTTTAGTTTTTTTTTAATAACTGAGATTACTATATATCTCTTCAAACATATCATGGGTTTAACTCTTTTCATTTTAGCAGATATATAATTTTTTCATGTAAGATTTTAGCTAAGATCTTTTAACGGTAAATTATAACTTAAAAAC